TGCTCCCTGCACTTCTGGGCACAGCTCAGGGGGCAGATGCCTAAATCCCACCATCTGAGAGTCATTCCTCCAGTTTGAGCCTGTGGTTCCAAGCCCCATTGTTTTCTTTCCCCCAAGGATGGAATGTTCTGGAAGACTTTATCCACCAAGCCCTGTCATTTATTAGGCAAAACCTTCTCATGCAGGACAAAAGGTAGCAAATACATATGAGGTAGCTTTAGCACTTTCACATTTTTACTGAGATATATTTGGCTACAACTGTTACTTTCGTGCCATGTACAATTTGAGGAAGTACAAGGTTTTATACTATTAATAGTTTTAGAGAAGTACAGGGGCTTTCCTTAGTCTATGATATAGGCTGAGTTTTCCTTATCTGAAATGCTTGGGGCCAGAAGTGTTTTGAATTTCAGGTATTTTTGTTTTTGTTTTTGGAGGCTATTTTTATTTTGGAAGATTTGCATTATCCTCAACCAGTTGAGCATCCCTAACCTGAAAATCTGAAATGCTCCAATGAGCATTTTCTTTGAGCATGAGGCTGGTGCTCAAAAGTTTTAGACTTTGGAGCATTTCAGATTTCGGATTTTCAGATTAGGAAGATTCAAGCTGTATTACCAAATACAGGCATGCGTGGCTTGATGATGGGGATACATTCTGAAAAATTCATCGTTAGGCAGCATCGCTGTTGTGATACCATGATAGAGTGCACTTACACTAATCTAGATGGCACAGCCTACTACCACCTAGGCTATATAGCATAGTAATCAATCCTTCTGCCTCAGCCTCCCACGTGGCTGGGACTACAGGCATGTGCCACCATGCCCGGCTAATTTTTGTTTTCTATATATTTTTAGTTGGCCAATTAATTTCTTTCTATTTTTAGTAGAGACAGGTTCTGGCTCTTGCTCAGGCTGGTTTCGAACTCCTGACCTTGAGCGATCCTCCTGCCTGGGCCTCCCAGAGTGCTAGGATTACAGGCGTGAGCCACCTCGCCATGGAAGATAATTTTTCCATGGACGGGGGTGGGGCTGAGGAGGGGCTGCAGTGGAGCTCTGTGGGCTGGTCCCTAATAGGCCACAGACCGGTACCGATCCTCAGCCTATGGGTTGAGGACCGCAGGTCTAAGGGATTTTACTTTCAATTCATGAGATGAGCTCTGGGGATAAAATTATCAAACAAATCCACTGCAAATCCTACTGTTGAACAAACACAGGTCTCCTTTAGTAAAAGCAGTCAGAAGGAAAATCATCAGATTACGGGAAAAGCTTCAATTGTCTAAAAGAAGGGCTATTCTATGGAAGAAATGCTTCCTTATGAAACAAACTTACATGACAGGGAAGAAAACTTAAAGCAAAGTCCCTACGATATATTTTCAGTAGAACTTGAGAGTACATTTATGAAAGAATCTCATTATGGAAGGTAGTGTCTTCCTTTAAAATACAACCACAGAACAAAATTTAAAAATGCAATGCCCCCTAATAAACGAATGGATCCTGGAATTGAGCACCAACAGCTGTGAACATCAAGAAATGAGAGGCCACCAGACATCACGGTGGAAGGACAGCCTGGTGGAAGGACACACAGCAGCTTATAAAATAGTGCCTCAGCCCCTCCCCCCCCATGAATCTGGATCTGGCCAAGGCAGAGGAACATGTTAAAGGGATGCATTTTGCATTTTTTGTGGAAAACTGCAGTCCAAATAAATTGCTCAACAAATAAGTTACAAGGAAGAGAGAGAGTGAGCACGAGAGAAGGACGGTGGGGGGGGGGGAGAAATAGTCATCAACCAATGGCAAAATGCAGGTGTCATGTGGATCCTACTTCAAACATTTATGAGGACAACTGGAAAGTTGAACGGGATGTTTAATCGTACTGGGGAAATACTGTTAATTTTCTAAGGCATGATCATTGCGTTGGGCTATTTTCTAAGTCTACCTTTTAGTTGTAACTATGGAAACATAGATGAAGTGGTGTATCTGGGATTTGGTTCAAAACAAGAAGGGAAATAGAGGGGTGTAGGTGAATGCGATTGGCCAGAGTCCACACCTGGTAAGCTGGAAGATGGGCGCGTGGCAGTTTATGATGCTATTCTACTTTTCTGTGTGTTTGAAAGTGACCGAAATTGTTTTAAAACTGTACTAAAACCCAAGAGGTTGGATAGTCTACAAAACCCAGTAAGTGGTTTAGATAACTGCTCAGGGAATTCTCCCAAAATTTAAAGGAAATGGAGAAAGATAACGAGTGAAATATGTGAAACTTAAGAGAGTGAGGAATGCAGCATGAATGTAAAATCAGAATTCCAGAAGGAAGCATGAACAGAACAGAGGAAAAGTGATATCCTTAATTCAAGACATTTCCATTTTTGGTTTCTTTTTTAAATGAAATGCCATCTAGCAAATACTCAGGAATTTTCATTTACAGTTTTACTACATTGCGTATAGTTAGGAAACCTGTTCTCTATAACACTTATTTTTGAAAACTTTGAGATTTGCTTTAATGCTCAGAACAAGACCAGTTTTTAGAAACATTCTTGCATGCTTACAAAGAATGTCTATTCCATAATCATTGGACGTAGGGTTCTAAGAGTGCCCTCTGGTCACTTTCAAGCCTTGCTCATTTTTCGTTTTTTTTTGTTTTTTTTTACCTTCCTGATTTATCAAAAGTGTTCGAATACCCTACAGGCAGATGGACCTATCAAGCTCTCCCTCTACTTCTATTTATACTGCATGAATTTTGAGACTGACTAGATGCTTGTTTAAAACTGACTCCTCTTTGTAAATTGAGCATTTCTGTCATAACATCATGAAGCTCCCTACTTCTAACAATGCTTTGGACGTTAGAGTTTATTTTGTCTGAAGTATTAATAATGGATAGTATTTGCCCAATGCCATTTTCCCCACATCCTTTTACTTTCAAATTTATGTCCTTATGTAAACCAGTCTCTTATAACCCAGAGCTTCTCGACATTTCTGTGGTAAAGGATCAGTTGTTTTTTGCTATATGCTGATCACAGACTAAGACTTTTGTAAAATATTTTTAAAATAGTTATGGAATTAAAAATATGCAAAATATAAGCCCAGACATTTTAGTATTAAATTCAACACACATAAAAATCCTTAGAAAACTTTTATGAACGTTATAGTTTCTTTATAGTTCACTGTCAATTTCTGAGCGTATCTTATGGCAGTCTTTAACAATCTGAGACCACACTTTTGAACACCAGTGTTGAAAACAGGGTATGTCAGGATTTTGTTTTGCTATCTAGTGTGATAATCTTTTAGCTGTTGAGTGTGGTTTATGTACATTTATTGGTACATTTGGGCCTGTTTCTAGCTCTCACATCTGTAAGTCTCCTCTTTCCCCCACACCATGTTGACATGACCTTGAAATACAACTTGAGATTATGGATGGAGATATTTTTCTTTCCTTTGGTCCTTAAAAAACTGCTGCTGGAGAATCTGACATCCATGGATCCCAGCTCTGGAGCTTTGGGTTCTGCAGGGTCTCTCTGGAAGCTTTCAGAATGTTCTCTGTCTTTGTCCATCTTAAATTATACTACCCAGCAGTGAAAATGAACTACATCGAAGAGACGTATCAATATGAAAGACTCTTGACAACACTGAGTAAAACATGTCAATACATACCATCACTCTTTTACATAATGTTCATAAACATGCAAAGCGCAAAGCTAAACAGGAAACTGTTTAGGGGTGCAGATATATGGCAACCTTGTGAAGACAAGCAAATAAAGGATTAATCCAACATTCAGGGTAGTGGCTCTCTTGGTGCAGATGGAGGGGCACTACGGGAAGGGTCCATGGGAGCAGGCAGAGGAGGTCTGAAGCACTGGCTATGTGCCGTGGTCCAAGCTGGGACCACAGATGTTCTTTATTTCAATAGGTAAAACCATCCACCTTGCGGTAGACTCCCCAGCAGTGGGTCACAGTCAAGATACTGGGACGGGTGGCAGCTGGCTGCACATCCTTCAGGAGTGGCTGAGGTGGTCACACATGCCTCAAGTGGCCAGAGAACCAGGGGTGGAGACAGGAATGGGGTAGTTCTGAGTTTGCTCTAAGTGGGAAAATACATCTATGCACCTTTGAACGCAGCTTTATACCCCATCAATGAGCCACACTGGGATGAACTGGAGCCCCGACACGCTCAGGAGCCACTCTCAGCCCTTCTCAGCCACCCAGAACTCAGCACCTCCTGGTGCGTGACCCAGCCCGACAGTGGCCACGGCTGCTCTGGGACTGTGTGATCCCACCACGTGAACACACAGCCTTTCTGGTCACCATGCCCAACATGTCTTCACCCCCCAGATGTGTTGCTATAATAGCAGACTCGTAAGTTCACATCCAAAGGCTAGCATGGGCGTATTCTCCAACTTTTTAACACCTCTGAGATTTCATTTCCCCCTTCTACATCCTTCCAAGAATCCTGCCCATGTCGCAGTGCTCTGGGAGGGAAGACAGACTGTACTTTTGCTCCAGCTTTCACCGTTCAGTCTTCCAGGTACCTGATGATGGTAATGCCTCTGAACTTGCGGAATTGAATTTTTTTTCTTTTTGAGACAGAGTGTCACTTTGTTGCCCAGGCTAGAGTGAGTGAATTGAATTTCTTAACAGTCAATTTCCCTCCCTAGGTAATAACTTGTAATTAATCAGCCTCTCATATCCAAGGTTTCTGCATCCTTGAATTCAACTAACCACAGATGAAAAATATCTAAAAAATAAATAAATTGAAAAATACAGTGTAACAACTATTCGTACAGCACTTACATAGTATTATGTATTATAAATAATCTATAAACGATTTAAAGTACGCAAGATGATGTGCATAGACCACATACACGTGCTACACCAATTTATACCAGGGACTTGAGCACACTTAGAATTTCACATCTGAGCGGGGTCCTGGAACCAATTCCCTGCAGATATTGATGGACAACTGCACAATTTTCTTATAGACCAGCCCGAGAAGGAGGCACGTGAACAGCAAAACTGTGTCCAGGAGAGCTTTTATTTGTACGGAACAAGTTTTAAAAATACAGAATAAAATAGCTTTATCTCTACTATTATTCACAACATCTGGTCCAAATATTACATTTTTTTTTTAAAATACTTAAACATTTAATGAAGCCATGTTAGAAAAACAATATGAAAATTCTTTTTAAAAACTCCGTAAAAGAATTACACATCTCAAAAAACAACCCCACCCCAAATACCCTCGGTATGCAAAATAAAAATAAACAAACAAAATCCCAGAAAGGTATATAGCCAAAGTCAGTCACAAAAACTCAAGGAAAATATAGGCATCCCCACTGTTGTAAGAACAGTCAGAAATGTATTAATGTTTCAAACAAAGGTCATTACTAACAAACAGAAAAGGAGATTCGTTTGAACTGTCAGTAAGATGGCAACGCTGGTAAGGGTGTCCTAAGTGCCTGGAAACACGCACAGCAATGCTACAGACGCTGGATGACAGGGTGACGGTGAGGCACGGTCAACGACAACCCGAAAGGATGGGAATGTGTGAGGCTGCTGCAAAGGGATCCCCAGCACTCGTGTGCTGCCTGGGTCCACGGGCGGAAGCTGAACACTGGCAAAAATGGGCGGCCTTCTTGCACCACTCGGGTCTCACTGGAGGATGGGCGGAAGGGAGATGTCCTATTCTCTGTGTCCAAATCATAAGGGGACAGAGTACAACAGGCAGCACCTGCATCCCCGGCCTCTTCCCTGAAGCCGAGGGGTGGCTCCCTGGAGAAGTGAGCTGTGTGACTGCTCGGGCCAGGGGCTGTGCACTAACGGTGCACAGCTGGTGTCCAGCGACAGCCGGGCAAGCAGGCCCTCCTGCCAGCCATGCCAGGCTGGGCCAGGCCGGTGCGTGCAGCGAACGTACCCCCAGGCCTGCAGGACGCCGCCTCTTCTCTGGCCAGACCAGTTCTGGAATGAGGCCTCCCACTTCGGCTCCTTATTCACCTTCTGTCTGGCCCGGCCACTCTTATGGCATCGGTACTAACTGAAGATTAGGCTTGACAACTTTACATCTAAGTTGCTAGTACCAATAGTTCAGCAGGGACATGAATGAAAGAAATAACAACTTAGCTCATGGTCATAAAATACGTGGATGGGTAAATAAAGTATACACACATACTAGAGATTCATCAATGGAGAAATTCTATCATCACATGACATTGTCATGAAAATTATATCATTCCCTCCCTGGAAAACTGTGACTATTATCCTGGGTAGAAATGTTATTTTACTATATGGAAATACTGCAATATTCATGCATAAACCAAGTTGTCATCATGAAAGTCAGTATTCTACAGTATAAAGCAAAACCTGTGTGTGAATTTGTTACCACGAAAATGGGAAACCAACAGGACCCACGATGCTGCACTCCGGCCGGCATGGCTTAGCCACTTCCCTTGCCTTGCTCAATCCTAGGAAACTAACTAAAAGTTAACACTTGAAATCCTCTGAACGATTCTGAAAATAAACACATCAGTGAATCTACATTAAACTTCCTAATGAGGATGAAGATCGCTTACAAAGACTGGAGCTATTTCCCACTAGTCTGTGAACCAGTGGTGGGGTCCCCCGACTCCACACTGTGAGGATGGCATCATCTCCTGTCCTTGCCAACACCTTCTACTTTCCATGTTGGGTTTGCCAGCACAAATGCTTGCTTTCAGGGACCAGGCAGGTGGCATGTGAAGGTGGCAGGATAGGTGGTCACTATGGAGATTGGAGACAGAATGGCCTGCAAGGACAGTCACATCCAAAGTATTTTAGAACAATTTACTGGCAAAACCAAGCACTATGGTCCGAAGCCCTAGCAATGCGGGACGACGACGTGGGAAGTGTTATGACCATGCATGTTACAACCATGCATGGCTGCTGAGTCCCCCAAAACCTCCCTTCAGGTGTGTGCTTAAACCCAAGAAACAGATGAATTCGTTCTTTTTTTTTTTTTCCAAATACAGACTTTCATTCCGGAGCGTATGTGCTACCAGGAGGACCACTTCCTACAGCGGTTTGAGAGTGTGTCGCATGTGCAAGATGTGTTAGTTACCAGGGGACTGCAATCACGCTAGGCTGTGCAGAAAGTACCAGATTCAAGGGAGGCATCTAAGCAGGCTGCCCTCCTTTCTCCCACCTCTGATCCCCTTCTGTCTCCCTGGACAGGATATCAAAAGACGGCCCCCCAGTGGAGTAAGAAGGGCGGAGGTGCGGAGGATATGAATGCTTGCAGAGGATTCTGCAGCATTCCCCCAGACTAGCAGGGATGAAGCCTCCCAGTGAAACCCAGCCCGAGGAGAGGCTTCGGAAGGGAGCGGGTTTCTGGACATCTAAAGTACACAGCCTGAGCGTTATTCAGAGGAGGGAGGAGACCCAGTTAGGTTGAAGAGAACTTGCTCCTGAATTGCTGATGGCGCTCATTGTTTTTATTTGTCTATTTGGTCCTTCTGGACACCTGGAGAGCTAGAATACTGCAAATCTCCAGGGTGGTTAGCAGTTTCCCCCATTTTTTAGAGCAGAGAAATTGGAGATTTTGAGCAAAATACAAATAGAATGAACTGAAAGCAGCTCAAGGTAGAAAGGCGTGAGCCTCAAGGGCTTACCACATTGAGAGGTATGGAAATTGTGAACCAGTGTGCTTCTAAACTATGAATCAAATACACATTTTAAAAAATATACAAAATTAAATGTAATTTAGAGTCTAAGTTCTTTACTTCATGTGCAGTAAGATTTTGGCAAAACAATGTAGTGGCTCTGAGGTGTTCTTCTAGAATAAGCCCTGAAGCCCCAAACTTCCAGGAGTCCAGGGGCTGCCGAGACGCGATGCCGTCAGCACCATAGTGCGGAAAGCCCAGCCAGCCTGGGGTTGAGGGGAGGGGAATGCACCGTGTGGACGTGAGGCTGCTGCTGGGGACAGGAGTCGGGAACGCCTGCTGCCCACCAAAGCTCGCCCCGGCCACTGACCCCCTAAGATGTATGACCTCACGAAGCAAGGTCACTACTTCCTATCTCAGGCTTTTCCTTCGGCTGAAAAACTTCAAACCAAATTCGACAGAAACCATTTTTTTTTTCAGAAAGAATTTAGTGTTATTAATTAGAAACTCTTTTAACAGAGGGAGCTTGTTGGCTGCTTTTCCCACCACCTTCCGCAACAACTTTAACAAGAAAGGCCAAGGGACCTAACCTTACCCTCTGCAAAATCGAGATCAAATGGGCATGCAAGTGTGACAACCCACAGAAAGTCTCCTTAGGCCATGACTGCCAGAAATGACTTGCCACAGGAGAACTGGAGTATTCAGTTTCCTGGATGCTGGACCAGTCCACGTGGCTGCCCTGTCCGGTACCTGCCCAGCTTCCCTTCTTCACAAAACAAATTCACATATGACTCGACCCACCGTTTCTGGGCTCTGGTCCAGTAGTCAGTTTTGATAAATAGATTAGGCATTACAGTATTTACACTTTCATGGTATCAAGCAATACAAAACACAACCACAACAATGGTTACTGGCCTCCAAAAGCCGTTACAACAAGCTTCCTCGACGGTGTCCACAGCTTTACAAATGCTGGTTCTCTTCTTAATTAGGGGGTGGGGGAGACAAGTAATAGGGGCGCAAGGAAAGAGGGTCACATGGAAAAACACTGATTTCAAAAATCTGCTATAGTCAGTAACATTAAATAGGAATAAAACCTTGTAATTATAGACGCGCGCGACAATAGCATCACATGACAGCAGAGCCAAGACTCCCGTGAACTTGTCGGATTGGTGCCCTTACGCGGCACTCTGTACCCGTCACACCAGCCAGTAGTGACAAATGCCAGATAGTGTCTCGGCCACAAGTAAGTAGAGGCCAGCTGGGGCCAGGACGGCGGGGGAAGGAGCAGTTGAGAATCAGACATTGGCTTCAGGGTCCTTTCCCTTCTGCTCCAATCCCCCGAACAGATTTTCTTTTAATAGCATCTGTATAGACCTGGCCATGCCCAGACCCGGGCACAGGGCAGCCACAGCACTGTCTCCAATAGGGCCACAGCCTCCTCCTACAGGAGTTATCAGGGACAACAGAATCACATGAGCCAGTCATGACACTGCTAGGACACTGGTGCCCCTTGGTCAGAGGAAGTCTATGCAGGCGCAGGCTGAGGTCAAACACACGGGAAGTGGGTCCAGGGGCTCCCAAGACAAAAAGCCCCAGAGCCTGGGAGGCAACCTGCAGGAAAGCCAGCACTGGGTGGCAGAAGGGGACCGAAAGCAAGGAATCACTGTGGATTTCAAACACCCACTCCCACGGGGGGCCTGGAACTTCAAGTTCAGTGACCACGGCCAGCAATGGACACTCTCGAAGGGCATGGGGTCAAGGGCTTAAATAAGGAGATAGGCGAGACACGTATTAGACACGATCACCACCCACAACAGAAAAGCTACTTGCGATCTGTCTTAGCTCTGGGGTGAAGAATGTAAATGTAGATATACAAACATATATTTCACTTCTTGTTAGCCAGCAGGAACTACGGGCACGCGCCTCACCGCGGCTGGCGCGGCTGGGGCTATACCGCAGCCTGCGAGTCCCCGTCCGAGCCCCGGCTGCTGTCGCTCTTCCTGAGCCCTTTCCACGTGTAGCCCACGAAGGTGGGGCTGATGGGCAAGTAGCTGAAGCATCTGTACTTTTTAATAATGTTCATGCCAAACGGCAAATTGTAGGATTCCATGCCGTCGAGTGACTTGTTCCCTTTGCCCACGCCCTTCTTCCACTTCCGAATTCCTCTTTCCTCTGGGGTACCTGTCACACACACCCCAAAATAAAACAAAGGAATGCTTAGATTCATACTTCCACTGAGAACGAGACTCTCGTTTCATATATATCCAGTCTCCTAACAGGTTTATCCAGTCTGACAGCTCACCACCCGCTCCCCGAAATCTGTTTTCAAATACCATGTATAATATACCTCTCTAAGATGCAAATTTGAGCCTACAAAATGGGGCTCAGAGTCTCTATTGTAAGATACATTGCCTCCATCAACCAGTCACTGCACACTGACCCCCTACCCAGACGAGCCCAAGTTTTCTATTGCTTTGCTCCACGTTAGTGTGGGAGGGTGGGGGGAAAGTCACATAATTGCTCCTGTGAGCATGAACTTCCACTGGTCTAACACTCCTGGGCACTCTGAACCCTGACACATGAGTCAGGGAGAAAGATCTGGGCTCACAGAGCTTCGCAACTCCTGGATTCTACGGTGCAATGTTTACGAAGCTCATGACTTTTTTTAACGTCTAAGCTATAACCCATCAGCATTTCAGTTAATAATACAGACTTTTTTTATCTGCACAGCTGGGAATGGTGGCTCACACCTGTAATCCTAGCACTCTGGGAGGCCGAGGTGGGATGATGGATTGAGGTCAGGTATTTGAGACCTGCCTGAGCAAGAGAGATCCCATCACTACTAAAAATAGAAAAAATTAGCCAGGTGTGATGGTGTGCACCTGTAGTCTCAACTACTGGAGAGGATGAGGCGGGAGGATCGCTTGAGCCCAGGAGTTTGAGGTTGCTGTGAGCTAGGTTGACCCTACAGCACTCTAGCCAGGGTGACGGAGTGAGACTCCTGTCTCAAAAAAAAAACAAAAACAAAAAAAAAATTTTTTTTTCATCTGCCTAACTCCTGCCCCGCCTCTCTCAATTAATTCTGGCTTAGGAGAGAAGAGGGTGTTAGTTATTGGCCCTCTTAAATCTAACACCTGCCACCTGTTCCTGTGTGTGATTCCTTCTGCCTGATGTGTCCATTCCGTGCTTCCCCAGGAACCTCTTCATTATGGCTTTTTGGAGGTGGGTTGTTTTGAAGGAAAAATCTCAATGAATCTTTCAAGCCCAAGGATGAGAACTACCCTTCCTCGAAGGCAGGTAAATCTACCAGTGTGTCTAAGGCAGCATTTTCCAACGGTCCATAGCAGCTGCCTCCAGGAAATTAGGACGGCTCCGAGGCGGAGCCCACATCACATCCCAGCCTGTCACCCCGTGCACAGCACAGAACGCACCCGGACGCAGGGATCATGGTGTTGCAGAGTCAGGAGCCTCTGCGTGTCTCTTGTCACTGATTCTGGCTGCACTGACCTCAGCTTTTGCCCACTGTCCTCCACTGCGTTTTGGTCTTCGGTGGCTGGAAGACCACCTGAGGAATGGCTTATTTAAAGGACAGGCTCCCCAAGTAGAAGTAGGCTGTTCCCAGCTGGCTGAGGAATGCGTGAACAGTTGATGAAAGCCACACTGCCCTGGGCATGGGCTGTGCAGGGAGCGGGGCAGGAACTCAAGGTATGCCCATCCCACTATCATCAAACCACATGCAGGGGGCTCATCTGCTGGTCCTAACGGTCATTCAGTGGGAGAACCAAATTAATTTATTTGCAAAAAACTGATTCATACCCAGAAGCTGGGAGTGTCATTTCAACTGTTTTAGAAGATAGTTTTAACCAGTGATGGCTCTGAAATGATTCACTCTTCCTGTTTCCCATTTTTTTTTTTTTTTTTTTTTTTTTGAGACAGAGTCTCGCTTTGTTGCCCAGGCTAGAGTGAGTGCCGTGGCGTCAGCCTAGCTCACAGCAACCTCAAACTCCTGGGCTCAAGTGATCCTTCTGCCTCAGCCTCCCGGGTAGCTGGGACTACAGGCATGCGCCACCATGCCCGGCTAATTTTTTTTTTTTATATATGTATCAGTTGGCCAATTAATTTCTTTCTATTTATAGTAGAGACGGGGTCTCGCTCTTGCTCAGGCTGGTTTTGAACTCCTGACCTTGAGCAATCCGCCCGCCTCGGCCTCCCAAGAGCTAGGATTACAGGCGTGAGCCACAGCGCCCGGCCGCTGTTTCCCATTTCTATTTGGCAAAAAAGTAACTCACATATGTAAAAAAGCATCTTTAATATATGCCACATACCTGGGATGGTGTTATCCAAAATAAAAGCCACACAGCCTCCCACAAACATAGCGGTTGTGAGAAGGACGTTCAGTACTTGATCGATTCCTGTTATCCCTGGAAATAGAACATACACACAAGGGTCATCACTGCAGATGGGACAGGCCTGCCCCTGATTCAGGAAGGAGCAATGGCATGGGCCAGTCAATGCAGCGCGTGGAAGTGTAAATTTCTCAGTTGGACATGTGTAGATGAATATTTGCCAGTAATGTCTTAAACTATTACTATGAATACAACAATCCAAAGGTACCTCCATAAGGAAGATTCCTAACAGTGGAGTATAGAAGATGAATCTAATAGAGTGATGTTCATCCCATGATGAATTAGGAAGCCACTGGGGCATAGTCTACATATAAAAAAAAATGGTCGTCATAAGGCTGACAACCATTACAAAGTGAATGATAACAAAACAAAAATATCTGTAGTATCTGCAGTCAAACAAGAGTTCTCAGTATCCTGGGTTACAAATTAGTGCTTAGCTGGTGTTCAATCACGAGCAACTGGATTTATAAAGATGTCCTCCCATGAATGTGATATGTTAAAATGTAAAAAGCTGCAAGAATCTATTATTAGGAAGATCACACACTTTGCATGCTTAACATGTAACGATCCTCAACAGAAAATAACAAGCGTTGGTGAGGATGTGGAGAAGTAAGAACCCTTGCACACAGCCCATGGGATAGCAAAATAGTACAGCTAGCGTGGAAAACAGCATGGCAGTTCCTCACAAAGTTAAATGCAGAATTACCATAAAGACCCAGCAATTCCACTCTTAGGTATGTACCCAGGAGAACTGAAAACAAGTACTCAAACGAATTGTCAATTTGCCTATGCACTAAAATTTGTTTAGAAACCCCAAATGAAATACTCTTGGTACTTTCAGTCACTCCTGGGCATGCATAGAACAGTGAAACATCTGAGTCGCCCAACAAACACACGTTCTCAGCTGAAGTCAAACAAAGCGAAGCCCCGCCTTTCTGCTTGGCTCTCATATTGTAAACAAGCGTCCTTTTGGCAGTCTGTTTGGTAGCATGTGTGTCACATTTGGTGCTTTCTATTGGTGATTCCGCTGTTTAAAACGGCCACCGAGTGCGCTGGGGTGGTGTCCAGTGTGCCTAGGTGCACGAAGGCTGTGGCGCGTGTTAGGTAAGGTTCGTTCAGGTATGAGCCGCAGTGCTGTTGGCCACATTTTCCCTAGGCACAACGGCTCGGTATTTGCTGTTTGCACCAACCTTACAGAACATGACTATCATGAATAACAAGCACTGACTGTATCTGTACACCAATACTCACGACAGCCAAAGGTGGAAACAACCCGAACGACCATCAGTGGATGAATGGATAACCAAATTGTGGTGTATGTGTGTATACACATTGGATTATCTAGTCAGAAAAAGGAATGAAGTACTTCTACGGGCCACATGTACCAGTCTTGAAAACATGCTAAGTGAAAGAAGCCAGACACAAAAGGCCCCATATCTTGTGAGTCTGTTTATGTGAAATGCCTAGACTAGGTGAACACAAAGAAACAGAAAGCAGAGTGGTGGCTGCCGGGGGCTGGGCGAGGGGGGATGGCGACGGGGAATCACTGCTCCCTGAGTGCGGAGTTTCATTTGAGGTGATGAAATGTTTTGGAAACTAGACAGAAGTGATGGTTTCACATTGTGAATGTAATAAATGCCACTGAACTCTTCACTCTTAAGTAGTTAATTTTATGTTATGTGAATTTTATCTCAAAATATACAAGATGGTTCTCAATTCTGTATTTGTTAAAATATAATCTGTAACAATAGCTATTTCTTAAGATGCTTCCTTGTTTATTCTTCATGACATCAGGGAATTAAAATACAAAGTAGAAGTTAAAAAGGCTAGTCTTAAATTCAAAGTAGCTGTACTCCCAGTAGAAAGATATATGTTTTGGCCAAAAGTGGTGGCTCACACCTGTAATCCTAATAACACTCTGAGAGGCTGAGGAGGGAGGACTGCTTGAGCTCAGGAGTTTGAGAACAGGCTGAGCAAGAGTGAGACCCCATCTCTACTAAAAAATATGGAAAAAATTAGCCAGGTATCTGCAGTCCCAGCTACTAGGGAGGCTGAGGCAGGAGGATTGCTTGAACTCAGGAGGAGTTTGAGGTTGCTGTGACTAGGCTGACTCCAGGGCACTCTAGCCTGGGTGACAGAGTAAAATTTTGTCACCAAAAAAAAAAAAAAAAAGAAAAAAGAAAAGAAAAACATGTGTTTCGAAGTCTATGAAGCTCAGTTTCAAGAAAGCATACATCTTAATATAGCGATTAGTTTGAAAAATCAAAAGGTTTTACAGACAGGAATTCTCCCACAGGGAGGGTCCTGGTAAAAGAGGCCTTAGCAGCCACATCGGATATGTGTACACGACAGCGAAAAGCCCCTGGTGCAAAGTGAGATCCGAAGAGCTGTATAGACGAAAGAATGTTCACCGAACCAATTCCTGAAGTTCCAAAGTCCATTCCAACCAGTGAAGAGCTATGGCTCCAGCTTCTGCCCCCAAGATTCAAGGCCTGGCTTCCTTACCTGTGACAAGAGGGTTCTGTCTGAGGTAACTTGGAAGGACGAGCCCAAAGAAGATTGAAAATCCAAGCACAAAGAGGTTGCGGGAAGAATTTAAATCAATGAACTGCAGGTTAGAGAGGCCAACAGCTGTGATCATTCCTGGAGAGACAAACACAGCAGACCACGAGTCCCACCGAGTCCACCACAGAGTGGACGACAGACTGCCCACAGCGGCTCCCTGATGTCCCCTCTGTCCAGCAGAAGCAAACTGGAGATCAGGCCGTGGCAGGAAGGGGGAAGGTGTAGGGTCAGGTGAGGCTCCAAAGGGTCCCTCAGCCCAAACACTATTTGGGCTTTAGAAAGGGGCATAAGCATCACATGAAGTTTTCCTTAGATTGAGGAGGAAACTAAGGACATTGGTTTCCTCTCTATGCAAACATTTGCATTAAACTGGGAAACCCAACCAAGTAACTGGTGAATTGATTATTACAACTGAATGGCACAGAGATAAAATCCAGAGTTCCAATGTAAAAATGGTCTGTTTTTTTTTTTTTTTTGAGACAGAGTCTCACTTTGTTGTCCAGGCTAGAGTGAGTGCCGTGGTGTCAGCCTAGCTCACAGCAACCTCAAACTCCTGGGCTCAAGCGATCCTCCTGCCTCAGCCTCCCGAGTAGCTGGGACTACAGGCATGCGCCACCATGCCCGGCTAATTTTTTTTATATATATATATCAGTTGGCCAATTAATTTCTTTCTATTTATAGTAGAGACGGGGTCTCACTCTTGCTCAGGCTGGTTTTGAACTCCTGACCTTGAGCAATCCGCCCGCCTCGGCCTCCCAAGAGCTAGGATTACAGGCGTGAGCCACAGCGCCCGGCCAAATGGTCTGTTTTTAATGGCCCTTTCAGAGGGGAAGGTATCTGAATTAAATCCACTGGAAATGCTAATTAAAGAGACTAAATTCAGTCTAAGTTTTCATAGCGTAATTATTCTTATTGGTGGTTCTGCCTTTAACATCATTTCAACTCAGGGTTATGTTAAGTTTTTATGTTTTTTTTTTTTTTTTCTTTTTTTTTTTCTCTTTCTCCACACATTTGATTGTAAAGTTTTTATGTTTTGAAGACATAAGTTATGTCTTCAAAAGGATTTCTTCTGAACAATTGGATTCGGTCAAAAGGCCACACTGGGTCGATATCCCCCGGCGCTCAGGCCCTGGGTCTCATGTGGTCTTCTGGGTCCTTGAGTGCGGCCTTTTGACTGAATCCAATTTTACACAACAAATCCTTTTACAATAGGGATTTGTTCTGGGAAGTTTGGATTCCGCCGAGGGGCCACACTCGGGGGTCTGGAGGGCCACATGTGGCCTTAAGGCTGCAGGTTCCCCACCCCTGACATATCCTTTTGTATTTTAAAACAGAAATTGGCCGGGCACGGTGGCTCATGACTGTAATTATAGCACTCTGAGAGGCCGAGGCAGATGGATTGCTCGAGGTCAGGAGTTCAAAACCAGCCTGAGCAAGAGCAAGACCCCGTCTCTATCATAAATAGAAAGAAATTAATTGGCCAACTGATATATATACAAAAAATTAGCCGGGCATGGTGGTGCATGCCTGTAGTCCCAGCTACTCGGGAGGCTGAGGCAGGAGGATTGCTTGAGCCCAGGAGTTTGAGGTTGCTGTGAGCTAGGCTGATGCCACGGCACTCACTCCAGCCTGGGAAACAAAGCAAGACTCTGTCAAAAAAAAAAAAAAAAAAAAAAAAAAAAAAAAAAAAAAAAAAACAAAACAAAAAAACCCCCCAGAAATTGATTGTTACCTTCTTAATGAAGCTAGTCAGCAAAAATCCTATTAATGATCCCTATTAATAATGAGCAAGTGTAAAGAAAGGAGCCCGAGAGGGGAGGTTTACCGAAGAGCGTGCAGAAGAGGGCTCCGAGCACGGGATCCGGAAGAGACGCGAAGAGGGCGCTGAACTTGCCGATCATGCCCAAGGCGAGCATGAGGGCTGCTCCGCACTGTATCACCCGGCGGCTGCCAACCTGTGGGACGGCAGAGGCAGGGCAGGTCACTGGCTGTCCTCCAGGAGCCCGGACTCCACCCAGGCCTCCCGGGGCCCAGGACAACTGTGATGGAGTCCTCAGGCAAAACCTTGATTAGTCTTCAAACTTTCTGTGAACAGGGACTGATTTCAGTGTACATCACCATGAATTACTCTAGAGACATCCAGAACAGATACCTGCCACCTTCCCCTCTCCCCAGCTGACTCCTCTGGCCTGACCGTGGGTGACCCACAGGATTGCCCATGGCTTCTCCATGCCTAGGTGACGTCCCCTGTGCTCAGGTCCTGGGTCTCCAATGCCCTGATGTGATCATCAGCTGGGATGACCCTGTGTCTCTAATGCAAAAGCCACACTTCGCCCCTGCCTCTCCCCTAGGTTCCCTGTACCACCTTTCAACAAGTCGGCCCTCCCTGAAGCCTGTCAGCCACAGCGCTAGTTCCCCATGCGCTATATCAGACCCACCCCAAACACCCAGGCAACCCCCTCTGCTCGCAGCACCTTGCCCATGAGAGGAGCCATTGCAGTGGGCCCAGGGGTGAGGACTCAGCCCTGCCGCTGCCTTGCATCCATGCCCTGCCTTGCCCCTGACTACATGCCCAGGCAAGGGACTTGGCCTTCTGGGACCTGACGATCCTCATCTGTGTCATAGGCAAGCTGTGTGGTTTGCGTTTGGGGCCTAAATGAGACACGCACAAAACAGTCTAGATGGTAGCTAGCAAGCACTGAGCCATCTGACAGCCTCCCACCTGGGCCTGCCGCCTCTGCCTCTCCTGCGTCCACTTGTCCTCGACATTGCCACGGAGTGACCTTTTTAACACACAGATTTGGGTGAGGTCAGTCCCCTGCTCACATCCTTTGGTGCTCATGAAATAAAAGCCACTTCTCTGCTCTTCCCAACAAAGCCTCCCCGGCTGGCCCTCCCTCCTGTGTCCCAGCCCCGGTTGTGCTGGGAGCTGTTTGCCTTCCTGGCCAGTTCCCAGACATATCCTTTGAACACAACCTAAATGCTACTTCCTCTGAAAGCCTTCCTTGACTCCAGGACTCGGCCCCCGCTCGGGGCCTCTGCAGCACCGTGGATGGCTTTCCCCAATGGTCGCATCCTTGTCTGTTCCACCTGATCTCTGCCCTCCCGCCAGCAGCCTCCACGTGGCTTGCAGTCACCCAACAGCGGGAGGTGGAGCTGCACCTGGCTCAAGAATCCTGCACTGCTGGCCCTATTCTGTGCTGCCTCTTCCAGGAAAATATCTGAAGACATAAAGTGGGGCAAGGAGGTTCCAGAAGTGTTTGGGGCAATGTCCACAGGGTTCGATGTATGACTCACAGTGAGAAGATGGCTGCTTAAAGTGATTAAAACAAAATTTTAAGTGCAGTTCCTTACTTGCACTGGCCACCTCGAGCGCCCACTGGGCACGCGTGGCTGGCACAGCTGTGTGGGAGGGCGCAGGGGTGGCGCACTGTGACCGCGGCACAGAGCTCTCAGAGGACGCCGGGGTCAGCTGGTCAAGCCTCAGGGCCCGATCTTTCCCGTGCATGTCAAAGACGGCCACCCAGCTGGACTCGGCCACTGTGTCCGGCCCCTTCCCACGCCACAGAAGACAGGGAGCAATGACAAAGATCACACAAACTGACGAATCAAGCAAAGGTGACATGTCCTTGGCAACTACCACAGGATAAGCAAGGCTTTTGTTTACAAATAGCCTGATATTCCACAAACATTTCTGAGGACCTACTAAGTGAACAGCACTGGTTAGACTGGGGTGGGTGGATACAAAGACGAGTCAGTCACAGGCTTGTGATCAGCTCACTGCATGGCTACGCTATTCCCTGCGTGGGGGCCCAGCTGCAGGGAGAAAGTCTGAAGAGCCGGGGAGGGCTGCTGGAGATGGCCTTGAGGGGCGAGGAGGCGTTCGCTGAAGGAACAGCATGCAGGCAGAGGGAACAGCCTGTGCAAAGACTCACACAGGGTCCGGCAGGACTGTTAGGTGTGTGGTGGGAGGGGCTGGGCTGGCCCCGGGGGGTGCGTGAACAATGAATCTTACACAAAAACCATGCCTGGAAGACTGACCTGCCTCTGATGCAGGCAGAAAAACAAGCACCAACAAAGCCATTCTTCTGTTCAACAAATATTAACACTAACTAACATTAACAGCACCTTTTATATGCTTTTGTTCTGAACACCAGAGATACAGCCCTAAAATCCCTGCTCTCCTGGTACTGATCCTGTACTCGGCCCACACCCTGCAATCTCCTCTGTGCCTCCCTCCTGACCTTCCTGAACCTCGGCCCCACCTCTGGGACTTTAGGAAATCAACGCTGGATTTCTGACTTTCCAGAGCCTTCAACAGTGTGGAACGCAGCAAAGAGAAGGAATGACCTTCCTTTGGACACGACCAAAGCCAGGGATACAGTACTTATTCCCTGCCTAGGAATAAACTAAGGACTAAAGGGCTACAACAATGACACACAGCCCTTATTGTGCACCCTACATGACAGGACTGCCACAACACGCTGCAGGCTAGCTTTATAAAACACTCTAAGGGGCCCTAACTTGACTGTGGTGACACTGCAGCAAAGTGATAGAGCCAGAGCTGGAATCCAAAGCAGTCGCACCCCCACCTATGTCATGCTGCCCCTTCCTATAGGACAGACATCAGAGCAAACTCAGCAGGTAAGTCACACATGTGGACTCCAACTCCTCAGAACTTCAGAACACACTGTGGGGTAGGTGACCAGAACTCTCGATCAAACAGTCAAGATAAAGGATTGCAAATATTACAGCTGCCAGGAAATAGAGGCAGGTTCTTTGGAAGAGATGCAGCTCATCCACTTTATATTAACGCGTGCCCTGAAAGTTTGGTGCAGCGGCCTAGACCAGTGCTATCCACAGAACTTCCCACCATACTGGAAATGTTCTTTATCTGAGCTGTCCATCGGCAGTCAGGAAGCCACATGTGACCAGAGCCCCTGAAGTGTGGCTAGTGCCACTGGGGAATGGAATTTTTAATTTTAATGAATTTAAACTGAAACAGCCACATGGGACCACCATGGTGGTCAGCACAGATCTAGAACCACAGGATTTCAGAGCTGAGTTCTCAGAAAAGTGACTCCTCTGGAGTTTTTCAGATGGACAAGGGGCAGGATACAGCCTAGAACTCCTGCTTCCTTTCTCCCAGGCCGGGTTCTGCCCACCCATCAGCTGCATGGCTCAGGCCACAAAGAAATTTCTGCTGCAAGTTCCACTTCTGCACTCCAGGGCAGCTGTGTAGATGGACGGATCATACCCTTTTCTTGGGGAATCAAGTCTGATGATTCAGGGTGACGCAAAACGGATTTCAGAGCTGACACTCTGGTTGGAGGCTGCCTTGGCCTTGAGGAAGCGGCGCCAATGACTGAGTCCACAGGGATTCAGAGCGAAAATCAATTAGCTCGTTACAAAGTGCTGGCAGGGTAACTTGTGAGGATAAGTGGGCACCATTCAAATTTTAATAAAGATAATTAGTCCCCAAATCGTCTTGGTCATGTGTCTTGGTCATGTTACATGACGATGTGTTTTTAAAGAGGTACAGAGGGGAGGAGGCTTAGTAAACTGTTTGCTCCGACAGTCCCGTCATCTACAACAATGTGACTACCACAGCCGTCCTCAGTATCCACAGGGGATTGGCTACAGGCCCTCCCATGGACACCAGAATCAAAGCATGCTTGGGTCCTTAATATAAAGTATTTGCATATAACCTATATGCATCCATGTATTTTAGATAATCTCTATATTACTTATAATACCTAATACAATGCAAATACTATGTAAATAGTTGTTATACTATATTGTTTAGGGAATAATGACAAGAAAAAAGTCTGTACGTGTTTAATACAGAAGTGATAGCTTTTCAAATAATTTCCATCCCAAGCTGGTCGAATCCATGGATATGGAATCCGTGGCTAAGGAACTCATGGACACGGAGGGCTGGCTGTACTTTTTGGAGATCAGCTATGTGCCTATGGGCTTGTGGCAGCAAACTGCCTAAAGACCGGCCTGGCTTAGGCCCTATTCTGTGCCCATGGGACCTGGCCCTACTCTCCCTGTGTGCATCACCTGCTTCTCAGGTGCTGGGCAGCACCAGGGCCCCAGGGATGGGGATGGAGGAGGTGCCCATCAGGCACCTTCCCTTGCAGGCCCCGTAAACTGGGAGCAACAGACAGGTGGGGCTATCTGCACACCTGAAGCCAGGCACTGGCACGGACCTGCCAACTTAGCGAAAACCAATGAACAAACCAGGCATGCATGCATGTGCTTGTGCCATTCCCTCTCACCTGGATGTGCAATCAAGATTAATCTAACTTAGTATCTGGTTTCGTTTTATCTGGTTATAAAAATCTCACGTGGGGGCTGGGCAGGGTGGAGGTCAAACAGTTCCCGGGTGAGGGAGACCTGTGAGTTGCGTGGGCGGTCAGGGAGGGTGAGCCAGTCAGAACAGTTGTAGCTGCACAACACACCATTGCTGGCAGTGGGTCGGGCTGCATCCCCTGGCAGGCAGTACTCTCTGGCCTCAGGCAGCTACGATAATAAATTTTATGTAAATATACACTAGAGTATAAAGTAATAAACTTGAAAGGCCTGGGAGCAGGCTTTTGGGGCGAGGCAGCCCTAGGTTTATATGTCGGGGTGTGGGTGGGGAGGGCAGGGGAGGAGAGGCAAGTGTGCCAGGCTCGGGTCCAGACCCTGCTTCAACCTGGTGACTCACTGTGACTTGTTTTATCCACTAGACTCCACATAAGATTTCATTTGAAGGACAAGGACCCTGCTGCTAAGGTTCAGAAACCATTCTTTAATATAAGATCAACATAATTCTATAGTGAGTGGCATCATCGCTCATCTAAAACTAGTGACACCACCACTTGGTTTCCCATTTCTGCCTCCTCCCCTGCACCCCCATGGTCTATTCCCATCACAGCAAAAAAAAAAAAAAAAAAAAAAAAAAAACAAATCAGATTGAGCTATGTTCTCTTTGGCACCCCTTCCACCTAGTGTCTGTGGCTGCGCCTATAGGGCCTACAGAACCCATAGTCACCTTGTAGGCCTACCTGCTCTTCTTCCTTCCCTCCTCCCCCTGTTCCCGCCCCAGTGACCTCCTTGTTGACCTTCCACTCCCAGCACAGGGCTACCACACCCCTGTACGCAGCCTGCCTGGAACAGTCTTCCCCAGGTCACCTGCAGGCTGCCTCCCTCCACCCTTCAGGTCTTTGTTCAAGGTTGCCTGGCTACTATTTAACACTTAATCGCCCTCTCCCCATCATCCCCTACCCTGCCCCATGTTGTTTCCTCAGTGCTTATCACAGCTGGCATCCTGTGTATCATTTGCTGACTCAGTAGGCTTACTGTTGATTCTCTTCCCTTGCTAGAATGTACACTTCACTGTTTAATCCACTGATGTAGCCCAGGTGCCTTGAACAGCAGCTGGGCACAGGGTTGGGGCATAATAAATATTTATAGACTGTTTGAAGGAATGATAGCACCTGAGTGCCTCCCTCCCCTCCAGGCCAGCCACGTGAGGAGAGACTCAAAAAAAGCCCTCTAAAACCCTAAAGAGAAGAGGAGGAGAGACAAGACAATCTCAGAACTGGCATCCCTTCCCTTTGAAACCTGCAGTGGTCAGAACACTCAATAACATGATGAATGTTTAGTGACCCAACCATGTAATTAGAACAATATTTGTACCTTTGTAATTCCCAAAACTCCAATGTTGGGACTGGATGATGTAGAGCCATTCCCGGTACCAAATATGCCATCGAGAACACATGAGAGCCCCTCCACGAAAATCCCCCTAAAATGTAAAGGTATCGGGGAAAGAAAAACATTCATTCAAAGAAGAAACACTCGGAAATAGCCTCCCAACATCTGCAACCCAAAGAAGCCGGGTCCGCAGACCTGCAGCTTCCACACCCCGGGGAAATGGGAGATGCAGTCTCAGGCCCCAGCCCAGACCTGAGGCAGAACCGGCATGTAACAGAATGTCCGTGCTCATGCGATTTTGAGAAGCACACCTCTCTAAATCACACGAGACACAGGTGGTTTAAAATTATTCCAAATGCAAACAAAGGATTTTAGCCAGAAAATAAAGCATTTGTGTGGATATAAGACAAACATGAGCTGTGTGTCGAAATAAATCATACAAATTTGATCCATTACTATTAAAATCCAGTTTCATGAGGAAGGAAATGCTTTGTAATTTCATAAACACGGAAACTTTTAAACCTGACTGATATACAGGTATTGATATACAGATATTGTATATTGATATACAGGTATTTTGACCACATGCAGCAGCTCCATTAGAGAAACCAGGACAGAAAATCCCAACAGAACCAGTGCAGGACATGCCAAGAACCAGCCCACAGATCTCATCACACACAATCCCTTTGCAGGGGCAGCAGCTGGTGGGACCAGGGGGTGCCCTGGACTATTTTTTTTTTTCATTGCAGCCTCCTTAGGGTCAATTCCCTATCGACTTTCAGAATCTAAAGACCAAGTGTTTTGAGGGTATAACTCCCACAGCTCATAAACCTCTAGATCCTGCAGGTTTCATTTATTCCTTCCTCTTCCTGTTCCTATTTGTATGAATTGTAATTGTGAACAGATTACACAGCACCTACCCTTAGGAACAGCTGAGGTGCATCTATTAGACAGACCTAGAGCAGTTACTGTCTGCTGCTAAGGTTTCCACTACAGATGTGAGAAAAAGGTATTCCCATGTTTCTGTCTGATTGTGCCAGCCAAGATGGAATGGTAGAATACAGAAGAAAAATAGGTAATCTTTGTAGCTCAGAAATAACCTTGTATAGCCGGATGTGGTGGCTCAAGCCTATAGTCCCAGCTACTTGGGAGGTTGAGGCAGGAAGATCGCTGGAGCCCAGGAATTAGAAACTGTAGTGCACTATGATGGTGCCTGTGAATAGCCACTGCACTCCAGCCTGGGTGCTCTTTCAATAAAAGAAATGAAAAGAAAAAAAGAAATAATCCTATAAACAGTTAAGAGCCTGTTTTACTCCAAAGAATCTAAAATTTTAGTTTGCAGGGGAAAAAAAGAACAGTTGGAAAAACAAGACAAGAAAAACAAAGATAAGATATAAATCAAGAAAAAGACAAGATATAAGAAATAAATCAAGAAGAGCAAGACAAGAAAGTGACAGGTAGGGTGTGTGTGTGTGTGTGTGTGTGTGTGTGTGTGTGTGTGTGTGTGTGTGTGTGTCCTTCTCAAATGACATAAAACCAAGCAAAGAACAAGGGTGATGCTTGGCATTTGTTTCAGGGCATTTAAGGCTTAAAGTGCTTTGGGGAGAGTATTTTATCTGATCATCAGAGTGACGGAAGGCAGGAATTCTGTTTTGCGTCAGGAAGAGGAAAATGAAAGTGAACGAGGGGCAGTGATGTGTTTGACAACAAAAATCCAAGAAGTAGTCCTGTTGCTTGGCTGCCTTCATGCTAAAGCGCTAGGCTTTGTCTTTGGGGTCACTGAAGCCCAAGAGCAAAGTAACAAGGCGCTGGCCCCAGGGAACCTACCTGTTTATGGCGTGGATGGGAGGCGGAGGGGCACAGGACAGCCTCGCACAGGCGTAGTAGTCCCCAATAGACTCGATGATGCTGGCCACCACGGCGCTGAGCATGCCGATGACGCCGGCCGCGGACACGGTGGGCAGTCCCCACTGGACTGAGGGAGGAAAACCACCGTGAGTGCTCCCAGAGGGGAGGCAAAAGTTGTAAGGCCAGTTACCGGATATCGACCTGAAAGCTGGAGGACCCTGCGAGATCCACTCAGATTTTGAAGCTCATGGAAATTGTTCACTTTTAAATCTTAATCATGAATGTACCAGATGCCTGGGACATCACTGGGGCAGGGGAGGTGGCCATATGAGGACGGTCTGCTCTGCATCTTTACTTAGAAGAAGAAACCTCTTGGCTAGAAGAGGTGGCTGCTTCTCTTCCTGATTCAAAGTCTCGCTCGGTATCTACTAAATAACAATTTAACATGGCCTGCAGTGTTGGATAGCAATTCCTATGAGACGAATTCACAGCCTTGCTGCACAGAGCATGGTACAAAATAAGTGACCTTGCCCAGGGGATGGCATCACATGCAAAAGCAATGAAAAATCGCCAGCTAAATTTAAATTGCAGTTTGGACAGCCCTTCTCCACTATAATGCCAGGGCCTAATTTTCAAAGTAAATCAGAAACAATTTATAGGAAATTAAATAGTTTCATTTAAAAAAGCAAAAAGACATCCCACTGTGATTTCATTTTGAGTATCTGGATTTACTTAACTCTTCATTAAACTTTTTTTTCTTTAAAAGTACATCTATTTGGACTTGAGAGCCATAGATCTTTCTTGATAAAAATAGCAAGGGTCTCTTTCAGCATTCGAATGAATAGTCTCCTTTGATAAAGGAGCCAGCCCTGCTTCCCTTGAACCATCAGGTATGATACACCAACCAGGTATAAAGCACAGTGGAAAAAGAAAGATAGACAAAATGTGGTCTCTTGCGCAGGAGCCCACACTGTAGCTCGGGGAACAGTCCCAGGGAGTGGATGGGGCAACTTCAAATGAATACAGCCGAGCTGGGTCACCAGGAGGAGAAGTGAGGGAGTCGGGAAAGGGGCAGGACTACAGGAGGAGGTGGGGATGGCGGTGGCCACTGAAGGATGGGGCGCATCTGAGAGGGGAGATGAAAGGACAGGGCAGGCCAGTGGAAGCAGAGCACTCACACGGGGTGGGAGGCAAGTTTAGGAAGGACTTGATATGCCACCTGAGCCACCAGAGGGGACTGGCCTTTGTGTCCTAGGAAAAGGGGAAGGGAAAGATGACACGTGAAGTCAGATGTGCAGAACAGGCCTGGAGAGTGTTTGAGGGTAGAGCTATTTCACCCTGTGGGAGGAGGCAGAGGACACAGGGGTAAGAGGTACTTGGTCACAGGTCCACAGGCAGGGCACAGCATGTTCTATGCTCATGGGCAACAGTGTCAGCATCTCACCTCTGGGTTGGTTTGGGGTGGATTTCCCTCACCCAGAGGTCTTCTTTACCAGGCAACACTTTGCTTTCTCTAAATAATCTTCTTTTACTGGTACCTTGATACTGATGTAATAGCATTGTGCTTTCATTTTAGTGTCTTGATTTTGAGGGGGTATTCTTATTCTGATCATTTTTTGTTTAGATATATTTATTTTTAAAACCTTGTTGGCTTCTGGTCTTCTCTCTTAAATATGTTATTGCATTTCTCCTTTTACCTAGAATCTTTCATTTATTTTGTAACTTTACAGCAAGGTTTCTCAATGTTAGCACTGTTGGCATTTTGGAAGAGAAATCTGTACATTACTGATAACAGGTAATCCTTAACACACTAAAGATCGAGAACCACTGATGTAGATATTTGAAAGCCTGTCTTTGGATGGAGCCAAATCACTGGAGAGTACACAGGACTACGTCTCTGGGGGTGCCCTGTTATCGAGTGAAGCTCTAGCAATATACCAGTTCTCAGCAATCGAGGGTTGCTGCTAACAGCAGCCCTGCACACCCTCGCACTGCTCATATGACCCAAGCACTCTGTCCACAAAGTCAAACCTGCTTTTGTATGGGCCCCATGAGGTCCCTGGGGGAAATCTCTCTGTTCTCAGGACATGAACAGCTGCTTCTCCTGGCCAGCCCAGCGGTGTTCCTACTGGAGCTCACTGGGGAGTGCCTGCACAGGCAGAGAGGACCGTTCCGCATGTGCCATGGGGCCTTCCTCTTACCGCTGCCCTCCGCCTCCTCCCGACGGCCTCGCCAATGCCTTTTAATTTATCCAGGATTATAGGTATGTTTATGAACCATGCACATTATTTTTTGGAAAAAGGATAGGTATATATAAATATACACTTACACCATATGATCTGATGAGAATGCTATTTCAGAAAGATGAAACTTTTTGAAGTTTTCGTAATATATTGAGAACAAAAGGAACAACCACCGACGTCTTCGTCATTCGACACGCTCACGGCAGTCATCTTACACCCAACCTTAATATTGTCTTTTTTTGCTTTTCCTCCTTGCCATTATACAATATGAAAATAAGATGGCTAAACAAGGGAATAGATTGGCTAAGCTCAGGTCCCGATTCTAATAAAAACCCAAATGCTGGGAATAGAGTCTCCCCAATAGAACCACCAAGCATGTCACAGCCACTGGGTGCACACGGGTCGCTTCTGGGGCCAGGGTCTAGAAAGTGCACTCACGAATCCAGGTGATACCTCTGCTAGGGATATTCTCTTCTTCTTCCTCCAAGAGTTACTCAACACTCAAATTACAACTTAAGACCGGGCTTCCGGACATTTGTGACTATCAATTTACCTCTACAGCTGGACCAAATGAAAAGGATTACTGCCACCCATTAAAAGATTACATAAATTCCATCATGGTTGAGCAGTTCGCTTGCTAATCTTCAGGCCCTCCCAATCAAGCCTTTTCACTATGGCAGCTCTGGGACCAACAGGTCTGTACTTGCCTTTGTAAGCAGCTGCCCTCAAATCCCAGCCACCAGAGCTCAGATATGGAAAGAGACCCCTTACCCGGGATTTTCTCCTAGTGGACCCCAAAAACCCAACTAGTTAATCCAAGAAGGGAACTGGTCTCTCCGTGTGTTGATGACTGCCCTCTGGGAACAGGACTTTCCCTTTTTTGCTGTCTAATCCTCTAATGACCAGAATGGTGAGAATTGCAGGAGACGTTCTGGGACAAAGAAGGCTTTTCCGCCTGGCTCCTGATCTCTCTGGCCCCCGGAATACTTACATGGGTAAGGAACCTTGAACCACGGGGCCACCAGAAGCACGCCCTGCCTGGCATCCGTGCGAGCGTAGAAGCCGTACTTTGCGCTGTCAGGAGGGAAGACATCCGTCACTGTGAAGATGAAGCAGAGCAGCCAGGACACCAGGATGGCCAGGATTATCTGAAGTGGTCAAGGGGAAAGCTGTCAGCCAGCAGAGCTCCTGGTTGTTGGCAAAACACACACCCTCCCACGGTCTCAACAGCACACCCCAGAATCCACCGTGGTCAGTACGTAGCAGACCTACTCCTTGAACGGCATGGAACTGAAGGAGCAGTTTCACTCAGGTGACTTGACTTTGGCCCTTCCCAAGTCTGGCTAGTAAGGTAAGAATGGACATCGTGTCTGCAGAGGCCACATGGAGACAAATCTCACTCAGCCCCAAGGACAATGTTGTCCTTTGGCTCCCACTTCAGAATCAGAACTTTCTAAACATCCTGTGATGGCTTGGGTGATCGTTATACCCCAATGTCACCAACAGACACAGTCCCTCCCCCAGGGAGGCCTGCTTAAAGCCCTCCTCTCACATAAACATCTCACATATGAACCAAAGGCAATGTCGTGGGTTGGTGGGGGGAGTCGACTACTCACAGGGAACATTTTGAAAAGCTGTAACTTGTACGCAGTCCACCCTTTCTTGGATTTATAAATTGGGAGAGGAAACTTAACATTTCTGGCATACTGAGAAAACAATAATACTAGGAAAATTGTCCTGAGGAAAGAAAGAAAATAAACCAGGTTAAAGGCTGTTATGTTTGTGCTGTAAAATAACACCCAGTGCCTCAATGACTACATGTGCTCAATTCATCTACCTAGAAAGCCGCTACTCCTCTTAACCACTATTTGGTAAATCATATCTTTTGGAAATACCATTTTGGGGAAGATATTATGGTTAATTTACCTAGCATTTCTTGATACCAAAATTGTAATATGAATGCCTTTGACTACCTTTTCCTAAATAGAATGAGAAAATCCAAAGAATACACACATTGATGGGAAAGGCTCACACTATGGAAGGAGGAAAGTGCCCTACTAAACAGGATGCACAGTAGGGGAAGGGGAGAAGAGGAGGGGTAAAAACCCAGCTAACATAACAGGTACAGTGGACACTACTCCAGGGATGGGCACACTCACAGCCCTGACTAAAGCATCATAAAAGTATCCATGTAACAAAAACATTTGTACCCCACTAATGTCTGAAATTAAAAAAATAGTAATGCACAGTAAAATTACAACTATGAATTAACTATAAAGCAAACCAAGAAACTACTGCACACACACGCACAAATGGGAGAGAAAGACATGAGCCAAACTGTACGTGGGGATTAGCTTTGGGAGGTTGTATAACCTGTGACTGGTTTTTCCACTTTTCTGTATTTTCTGATTTACTTACAACGAGCACAAACAGAGCACAACAGAGCAAAATAACTTCAGTATTTTATTATAAAAAACTATATGCAGAGTTCAGTATTAATAATACTCCTGAGGAGTTCCCATGCCAGACGTCACACCAAGGTCTTCCTGTGTGTCACCTCAGTGCCATAGGCTGGCTTCTAATATCCCCTTTTGACAGAGAGACAAAGCCAGTGCTCCAGGATCACACCGGGGGGTGGGGCCAGGGGGCTAACTCTACAGCCCTGAGCTCTTAGCTACTGCCCTCTGGTCACGGGGCAGGAATATCCAGGCTGGCTGCAGAAGTCCCTCGCCGCTGAGCCTCAATCCTGACCAAGCTGTACTGAGCACCAGAGGAGGCAGCAGCCACAGGCGGTGACCTCCCTGCAGCGGGACCCTGACATGTCCTCATCCGTCTGGTGCCCCATGTGGCTGGCGGGTGTGGGACCATTTCCCCTCCCCTGGGGGTTTTACTCGAGACTGAAACAATAAAGGCCCACGTGTTGGATCCTCTTGCAGACTCGCTCTTTCACTTACAACCTAAGGTGGAGTTGGCAGGAAGAGTGGGTTCTCAGTTAAAGCTAAGCGTAATTGCGCCTGGGCACGGTTCCAGCTGCTGAGATGGGATCATTAGCTCCATCGACAGCCAGTCAAGTGCGGCTTCATTGTCACATTCCTAATGAGGCGTGGACTGCAGCCTGGCGGGAAAACAGGCATGTGCTGCTCTGCAGGTCTCCCCGCCTGCTCAGGCACCTCGGTGAGCTGGCGATCACAAAGCCTGGGGGGTGTCTCTGCCAATAACAGTTCGAGGTTGAAAACACACATGGTGCCCAAGTTATTTCACTTCCTCTGAGATGGTGAAGTTTACCAAAAACAATATGACGATGTGGGATACTAAAACTGGCCTATTTTAAACTTAGGCCTACAGAGAATTTTCATGTTGGAAAAACTTCATGATACTTAATTTCTTTCAAAGTGAGTATCACACAATCCTAAGAAGCCTCAAGTCTGCTGTTATTGTTTCAGGCAACACCGACCTGCACAAGGATGCTGACTTTCCAAAGCATGTTTAAGAGGGGGAGGGGGACACATAGAGACTTCAAAGAGGGCACAGATCTCAGGCCGAAATCTAGCAACTCAAACTGGGGAAGCAGACTAGGCAGATGAACACTGCGTGTTCTAGTTTATTATTATCATCACATATACCTGGGGGCAGGCACCCCCAAGACAGACAGCGGTGGGGGCATGTCTTCATTCTCAAACCTTGACTGAGCAGAGAAGGGATGATGCTTTTAGTCTCAGCTCCTCATGGTAGAGCCCCATCTAGTATGCTGGGCACTTTCCACCTCGTGTTTACATCTTGCTACTTTGCTGACTTTTACTTTAAAATATTATACAAATATATGGATACCAAATTACAGAAAAAATTTAAAAGGTGAATAAGCAAAAAGAGGCAAAACCCTGAAGACAACTCATAATCTCCCTTTTGGATGATAAAACCATGCAACATTCTGGTCTATTCTCAATGGCTTTCATTTCCTGGATATTTGCTGCCTGCCAGGAACTGAGGTCAGAAGACGACAGACTGTCATCTTCCTTGTCCTTAGGACATGAACAGGTCATTTTCTAACTCAAACTGGGCTCATACTTAACATGCTGCTTCCTAATGCTTTTAGCTCCACTAATGCCAAGAACACTTTTCCATTTCACAGGAGATCTGCATCAGCACCTCACGACTACTCAGCATTCCATTTTATGGACGTACCACATCCTGTTTAACAATTCCCATACTGTATGTCGCTGAAAGCAACAAACTTTAATTAAAAAGCTGTATCATCACTTATTTTAATATTTATTCTTTATGCATGAGGCTATGTATTTTAGCATTGTTTGCAACAGCAAAAATTTTAAGCACCATGGATGAGCATCAATTGGGAAACAGTTGAAAAAATTATACACTATTCATACTATTAAAAATTGTGCAGCTTTACAAAGAATGAGATCAATCTAAACAACTGAAGGTGAACCCAGCATATCACTAGAGTGAAAAACTAATTATAAAATGATAGCAAAGCTGTTTATGGACATGTTTGTATTTGCATAAAAAATAAAAATATGGAAGGATAAACACTTAACTTTTACTAGTTAACAATCATGAAATTTTTCTGAAAGATAGTGTGAGTGGGAGGAAATTATTGTTTTATTTTAGATTTCTCTATTTAATTACTGTTAAATGTCAAATATCAGCCAGATGTAGTGGCCCATGCCAGTAATCCTAGCACTCTGGGAGGCTGAGGCAGAAGGATGGCTTGAGCACAGGAGTTTGAGGCTGCTGTGAGCTAGGCTGATGCCATGGCACTCTAGCCCAGGCCATAGCGTGAGACTGTCTCAAAAAAAAAAAAAGCTCTAGAGTATTTAAAACAGTGCAGAATTTTCTCTTCCTTTAAGATTAGTACACTCACTTCAGTTCAGGGCTTCCATTAGGAATCAAAGTCCTTTGCTAACATTGCCAGCCATCCCTGTGGTCATGGGTTTATTCAGCTTCCTAAACGTTCCCTCCCTTAGTCACAATCTACTTACTGAGCACCTGCTCTGCATGGGGAGGGGGTAGCGAGTCCCCTGGTGACTGGCCCAGAGGGAGGACCTACCCTCACAGAGCCCACAGCCCCAGGACAAAGAGCTCTTGGAAAGTGAAAAAAGAAAAACAACAACAAAGGAGCAGAAATGAAAAGCGTGACTGAAGGAGAATTCCCACAACTTGAGAAAAAAGATGAAGAGGTGGAAAACAGGCAAGGAAAGAAGAGGAGTCCAGGAGGTCTAACATCCTTGAAATTCCAAAAAGACACAAGCAAGCATGGAGTAGAAGAAGACATCTGTGAAATAACTCAAGATCACTTCCCGCTTCTGCATGCCTGGTTTCCAGAGGGAAAAGGCCCCGAGTGCCCAGCCCAAGAAGCATAAAGAGACCCAATCGGGGCAGTGGGTGTCAGACATCGAGACAAACAGGAGATCTAAATGCTTGTAGAATTCTAGCTGGTGTCTAATTGGAGTTTCAAAAGGCAAGGACAGAGAAGGACCCTTGGGAGTCCTAATGTACTAATGGCTGAGCAATTTGCAGGACAGAGAATAGATAGGCAGAGGGCAAGAGAGTGGCTGGGGACCAGTGAGAACTGGTGGCAGAGGGGAAGGCTTGCCTGGGGGGCGGCAGTGAGGGCCCAGGGAGAATAGACTCGGAATTTGCTCTGGAGGTGGGGGTGAGGGAAAGGGAAGAATATCAAGACAACTCCAAGGTTTTGGCTTCAGCAACTGGGAGCACAAACTAGGAGCACAGTCGTGTTGCTTACTGGCAGGCGCAAGGCAGGAGAAGGAAGCGGTTTGGGGGCAGGGAGGGAATCAGAAGCCTGGTCCTTTCTTCATGTCATGCTTGAGATGTGTGATCGCAAGTGCAGAGGGAAAGTTGGGGGCTGGACCTGTAAGTCTGGAGTTCTCAGGTCTGAGCTACAGGTTTGCGTGGCCCAGGTGAGACCGCCTAGGCTGGGGGTACCACACGAGAAGAGGAGGAAGTCAGAGTCACAATCCGAGAAGGCTTTTCTGGAAATCCATCATTTTATTACTATTTTCTTTTTCTCAGTTTGAGGGCAGAAAGCATAGATTTAACTCCTGCCTAGTTGGCTCTTTACCCCTCTAGACAGCCAGCACAGGTATTCTCTTATCTTCATTAGCCTCCCCAGAAGTTTGTTTACATTGTTTTCTCTTCCCAAAGGACCAGCATTTAGATTACTTTGTTTCACATTTTCTGAAACATTATTAACTCTTCCCCCACCCCCTTCCATTAGGTTCATTTCCTGTCCTATTTCCCTAGCTACTGAAATTCTTCATGTGGTTTATCTGCCTTAAAGGTTATGAATTTTCCTGAGAACTCTCTAAGCATGATTAGTGCTGTTACCATAATCATTTGCTAAATTATCAGTAATTATGAAGCGTCAACTTCCTCTCTGAGAGTTATTTATAACAATTTTTTCTTTAAGCTTCTAAGCAGTTTGGGTTTTTTGTTCAAGCTTTTGCTGTTGCTTTCTAATTTTACCGTATTGTAACTACAATTGTGCCTTTTGGGCATTAATTACATATCACTGAGTGAACATTCTTAGGTGCCATCTTCACACCCGTGCTAGTGCTGAAATGAAGAAATCAAGAACAATCTTGGACAAGTGTGATGATTGGGTTTTCACACTCATGTGTGAGGTATTTCCCTTAAATCTTGTTGTTTTACATAAAAAAAAAACTTGGGTATTTTGGATATTTTTGCACATCTTGATTTAATTTATAATGATATATGGATTGTGCTTCTGCTATGATCTACTTTATTTGTGCATCATGCCCTAATACACAGAAGCAGGACTGAATGTAACGAGTTAAGTCCCAGTCAGACCTTGTGGATTTTGGAACCCATCTTACTAGCTGTGTGATGCTGAGCAAGTGACACTGCATGTTTGTGTATCAGCCCTTTGGCTGTTACGTAGGGATGACACTAGCATCTGTCTTATCTTATTCTATTCTAAGTGTTATTATGTAAAACACCAAGCACTGTAAAAGATCAATAATTAAAAAATTATAGAATATTACAGAAAGCAAAACAAGAGAATTGGAAATCCCCTTATGTTATTACTTTGTTTCATGAAATTTTCTTGGTTGGTAAAATTCCAGAGTCCTGGAACCATTTACCTATGAGATAATCAGTTCTTACATATGCTCTACAGACACACGCAAAGAGAATATGGACTCAATTTGTGGTATACAGAACTCTCTGGTTCTCATCATCAATCTTATATTATCCAAGTCCTGTATATCTTCTTCACTCATAAAATGTAACTTTACTTAAAGGGCAGGGGATACCTATAATGGACTTAATGTTCTGTGCAAAGGATTGGCTCTGACTAGCAGGATCCTGGAAGAAATCAGACCCCCAATCCCCACAGGAGTGCAGAGCTCTGCTTGGCCTGGGTGGCAGTCACACTCTCAATGCCAACAGACCCTCCTGCAGCGTCTCTGTCTCCTGCCAGTCTGGAAGTATTTTGGAGTCTCATCTAAAGATGTGGTTTCTCAGTATTTCAACTCTTATATACAAGACTTGGCATGATCTCAGAAGTCAAGAGTTAATGGCACTACCATCTTACCCCATTACCAAAGTTTAAAATCTTGCAACCTACCCGCTATACATCACTGCCAAGTCTGTCTTTGGAATACCTTGAGTGTGTGTCACTTACCAACTTCTGGGACTAAAAAAATACTTCAGCTATTCCTTCACATGAAGCAAATAAAGTTTAAACTGCCACTCAAAAAAAAAAAATTTTTTTTCTTCCAAAGTGTGAATGTTACAAATGTTCCAAAAGGCTGTCCCACAGTGGTAGGACACATTTTTACACTTACAGCATGGCGATGCCCCAGTGCTTGCCAGCCCTCTCTCCTGCTGCCTGGAAACCAGACAGGCCAATGAGGGCCACTGTAGGCGTGATGGTCAGGGGCCCGATGTATTTCAGCAGAGCCCCAGGCAGGCCTAGGAGGCCGATGACCACTTCTATCAGTGAGGACATGATGATGGCCCCCTGGATCTGGAAACAAGAGACAGCACAGACGTGAGAGTGTTTATGTGCTGGACACTCTGAATGTCACCTGCAACCACAACCGATAATTCTGCAAGGCAACAAGGTACTATGTTATCTAACAGGCATGACACAGCTGGCAAATGCCCTGGGACCCGACAAGAAACTTCAGTGGTGTTAATCAGGGCCTAGCAAACACGGAGTCTGACAGCACTGATGTAGACATATTACAGAAATGGGCACTGAACTCAAAGCCCACTTGCCTCATCCACTGATAAATGATACAGCGAATCCCCATTTAAGAAACACAACATTTCAGCACAAAGACTCTTGGCTTTAAAGAGTGAGCCCCTGTAGGACATTTACAAAATAGTCATTGACAAAAATTCTCAAGGGATGTTTCTAGGGTACAGAATGGCCATATCTGTGCTCATTCTGAGCTAAAGGTGAATTATCTCATACATCTTGGAAAACATGAACAAACGGTCACTGTTCTTCATGTCAGGGGGCTGCCACACAGTATTTTTTTTAAGTGCACTTTGGCAGACAAATATCTTCAGTTCTTTCAACAAATACAGGCAAACACTGAGGCCAAAGTGAACAACTCTGCTGTTCGTCCACAAACCTCTGTAGCTACTTCTAGTCAGTGAGCTGCCAGCCTCAGCTGGCTGCACTGGAAGGGGTGTGTGGACAGGCCTGTGGGTCTGTGACAGGGGGGAGACAATTCCTTCTAGTTGCACAAAGCACTTCCACCTGCTTTATTTTACAATGACGCTTAACTGAATATAGCTTAACGACAGAAATAAATGTATCTGTAATTGAAAAGGCAGGGTTTAGTAAGATCAGCTGTGGTTTCCTGGGCACAAGCAACATTGAAGCTGAGAAGAAACACAAGCCACAGGCAGACAACACTTGGCTTTACCTCTCGGATCCGGGGGTACCAGATGTGTTCTGTGTGCAACAGTTCGGCCGTTCCATTGGCAACTGAAACATCTTGAAAACAAAAACAGAAACAAAATTTTTCTTGGAGTGACACTGATGCTTCACAGGATATATTCATTTTACCCTTTAAAAAGAATTTCCTCCCTAATTTTAATTATATATGTGTCAATACCCATCCCTAAAATTCAACCTACAGCATTATACAGCTTTGTCCTACTGAAAGGTGGATTCCCCAATGCTAATGTAAGCAAATGTATTCATCGACTGAGAGCTCCCCCAACTTGTCAAAAGCTGACTGACATGGTGATACACCTGACTAGTACCAGCCTCACACAAAAAGCCAACCTTTGCAAGCAGCTAACTGAAATGCCCAACAGCAAGGTTGCTGGACTGAGGGTTTAAAAACTGAGATAAAACAGAGGGCCCTTTCCAGTTCCAAAATCAAATCAATGGTCACAAAGTAACCCCTAGGAGCAAGGAAGGAAATGAAGGCTGGAAAACTTTGCTCCTAGAACCTCAAAATGTAACCCTATTTTGAGAGTACAGAAGGTCTGACTCTGATTTTCTCAAATTCCCTGTCTTTATCTGACCTTATCGGGTTCCTTAAGGATCTTTGCAATTGCTAAGGAAGGGGAAGGAAAGTCATTTGCAGGAAACCACAGTAGCCAGATCCTTAAAAAGCAAAGATGTTTCAGAGAAGGGATGCTGACGCAGCAAAGAGAGTGATTACTGGTGGGTCATAAAATCCACTGAAAGAGAGAGGCAGAAAAATAGCACAAATATTTTTCTATTCCATCCCCATATTTATCAATTTCATTGGCATAGAGAAATGAGGTCATTTCTGGTCCTTTCTTGCTCTAGGGTTAGGGATGAACAAGTGGATAGAGAGAGAGACAGACAGACATGATCTGCAGATTGGAGCGTTCTAAGCTGTTTGTGGGTTTGTGTGCTTTGTGCCTAATTCGAGAAAGGATTTAACGCTGAGGGCAGCATGTCCAGGCCTCCCTTTTATCACCTGCATTAAAGGACCCCAATGACATATGTGGAAATAACTGCAATTACCTGTGGTGTTACATTTCCATTTATCTAAAGACAGGATGGCTCGAGCAGGGGCCAAAAATGCAAAAGCACTGGCCTGAAACAGGGGTAACCTAAAAGAAACGAGACCAAAACCATGATCACGGCATCGGGAACTACCGAAGTAGTTCACTATTTGACAGCTTAACAGTCTTTTCCATAGACATACAGCACATGAGTTAACGCAGGCACACCTGAAAGAAAGAGCCCCGGCCTGAAAAGGTCTCCTATGCCAGGTGGCACGGGCCACTGGCTTCTCCATCCTCCCCTCCTCTGCTCTCCCCCCAGCCTGGGGGAGCCCTGTGGTCAGTGCCATCACCCCAACACCAGCCCCTGCCATCACCACTTTTCCTCTGCGAGGTCGGGGGGCTTCCCTTTTTCTTGCTGAGCTTATAAGCTCCTTTTTAAACCTCGGTGTATTTCTGCTATTTTACCATCTTCATCCTCCTCCTCTTCCATTTCAAATTCTTATCAGTTATCACAGAAAAAAAAATCTATCTCCCTCTGTTGTTTGATTTTATGAGTCCAAAACCACCCTAATCATGGAGGATAAGTATTAAAACCATGTTAGTGATCTAGAGCTATCAAAATTGTAAGTTATAAAGTGACAGCAGATATAATAAATATCTTGCTTAGTCATAAAAATACTTATAAATGCTCCAACACATCTTTAAACAGCCCAGAAAGCTTGCAGAATCTCCATTAAATTTCCTGTCCACATCTTCCCACTAGCTGCAGAGGTCCTCAAATGCCATCACTCGATTCTATTTCAGATACCTGATGCTAGCTTTATGAACACTTTAGCTACTCAAAATGATTCTGATGCTTTTTTACCGGATATGTACAGCATTTCAGCTAAGTTGTATTAAAGTGGCTTAATGGGTTAGCATGAGAATCTAATCATTATTCTTAACATTATTTCGAAGGTAAAACATAAAACTGGCTCCTTCAGTCTGGAGGGCTGGGAACTCTCAGATATCTAAATCCTTAAATGCCCGAGGCAGCACTGGGCAGTGGCCTGGCCAGTGAGACATGCACCCAGCATCCTCCCTCTGAGCTGGCTGATAGCAAGTCCTGCCCACAGTGAAACAGGAACTGGACTGAGAAAGGTAAGTAGCTCCGGCTGAAGGACAAGCAGTCCCACTGCAAGGCCAGAGCCCAGCACGCACCATCCTGAGCCAGAAGAGGTTAAGGCGCCCTTGTTACAGATGTCTCCTGGCCATTTTAATCAGGCAGTGAAATCAACCGAGAGTGAGCGGGATGCTGGCTGTGAGGCAGAGGCAAGCCACACCATACACACCGGATGCACGGCTGACAGCCACTCCCATGGGCACACCCTCCACCAACCAGTTATAATTACCTGCCGGAGGGGCCCGGAGCATAATGCTGTCAGGATCACCTAGAGTGGCAACGTACATCAAAGGTAAAACATGCTTTGACTTATAAAACTCCTTAAGCACAAATGTTCAGAAATATACTTAAAGGGTAAAGGGAGGTCAGCATTTAATTAGGAATGGGCACTGTCTCAAAAGGCATCTGGTCTACTATGGTTGCAGGTTCCAGCCATACATGCTAGGGCAACGTACTAGGAATGGCAAAATGCATTCAGAGATTTTTGTCCTTAGAACACGGCCATCCCACTGCACTGGTGATTCACTGGAAGTGGCAAAAGTAAAGGCTGGATCCAGGTTCTCCTCCTCAGTTGACCTCAGTCTGAACCTCGTCTTGCTTTCAGGGCAAGCAGTTTATGGCTTAACCAGGACTAAAGTCCCTCTGAGAGCACTGCTGCAAAGCAGCATACTCATTTGCAAGCAGCCAGGACCATGGGTTCTTTTGAAAGTGGGTAGACAGAAAAGGCCTCCCAAGATGGCCTGGAAAGAGCTGCTCGTGCCAACATCATGTGGCATCACGTGTTCGCCGTTCGGCCACATACACCACCTGCCACGAGCCGTTACCACCCCAGCAGTAAGTGTGGGCTCTATAACCAGCATATACCAGTGGCTGGACCGAAATGCTCTCAGGGCAAGTTGCGACAAGAGCATATGAACACATTAAACAAACGAGAGCTCCCCTAGATCACGATTAACAAAGCCAATTTCCGGAGAAAAAGATTGAAGACGACAGAGTGGCTTTTTCAGGCACTTGCCTGGCGTGAAGCCAGGCAACCCGCGGCTCTTCTCTGTACATGCAGCAGGGCTCCCGTCTCAGTGCCTCTTGCTGACATGACATCTAAACCTCAGGTGTGGGGGTGGGTCTCCCCCAGGAAGACAAGACCGCCTGCTCTTCTATTTTGTACTGGAGACAGGAAAGGAAACAAATTAAACTGGGCCTTTCCTTACACTGGGGGCTGCCAAACTGGGCCAAATCTAGCACGCCACTTATTTTTGTAAGTCAAGATTTACTGGAACACGGCCCCACTCATTCATTCCTCGTTGTCTCTGGCTGCTTTCACGATACAAGGGTAGAGCTGAGCTGCTGCAACAGAGACCCGGCAAAGCCTAAGGTATTTACTGCCTGGCCCTCTACAGAAAAGGTTTTCTGACCCATTTACAGGGAAAATATATCTTCAAGATGTGAAGAAGCAGTGGATTTTTGCAGATCACAATTTTTACAGTTAATAGTGTCACGAGATGTTAGTTTTAGAAAAAGGAAAACCTAAGCAGATACAAAACTTGATCATGACACACTCCCATATGGCGGACTCCAGTCCCAGGAGGGCAAAAGAACCTCATCAACCCCAGACAAGTCCATACTCAAAACCCTGTCAGAGGCCCTGTATTTCCAGCTTTGTACTCAGGTAACCCGAACCCTATTCCCAGCCCCATCTCTCACCCACCCTTTTCCCGTGCCCTGCACCACACTCATGGGGTCAGGATTCTTTTCTGTTAGACACATTTCTAACTAATGTTCAACTTTCATTCATCAGTCAAGACACAGAGAAAATATCACCACCCCCAGGAAATACTCCAGGATCTCCTCTGAGTATATAACGCTTTCCCCTATAACCTACAACTTTCTAGTCAAGATTTCTGCCAGTCACCCCCGGAGTTGCCAGGAAGCCGCTTCAGGATCCCCCGGAGGTACTGGTTAAAAAGGGAGGTTTCGGCATCTTGAGGTGTCCTGGTTAATCAGAACCTGGGGGCCGCTGCACCAAATCTGCACTTCCAACAGTCACCTGCAGGTGAGGCTGAGACTGAGCGCTCCTGTGCTAGATGAGAGGATTTATCGTTCTCTCTCTTGATAAATACTTCTCGGGTATCTGCTTGACACAGGCACAATTATAAACAGATACGATGATGGAAAAGCACCACTCAGGCCATTGAGGGGTCTCTGTTGTGCAAAGACGACACCAATCGTGGTCACACGGGAGTGGCAGTGATGTGACGGGGCGAGATGCTGCGGGGCTCAGAGCACGGAGAGCACTTCACCGAGGGGGAGGGGTCACAAGCATCCTGGGCAGGAGGAGGAGGGGTGCAAGGTGAGAGCCACGCGACAGACCAGGAACCCTGGAAGGACTGCAGGTGCTTTACTGTGGGAGCAAGCACAGGGAGCTGGCATGGTGATGACCAGTGGGGACCGGAGGGCAGAGGCCCTGTGTTCTTCCTGTACCACGAGGAGGAAAACTACCAAAGGGCCTTACACTGAAAGAACCACTTTGGGGGAACTGGGAACAGTGACCTTACCCAAAGGTGACCTTACCCAAAACTGTCCTCGGTCTGGAAAGAACCAAACCACAGAGGACTATGGCACAGCCCAGATGACCGACCAACCTGGGCTAGGTCTCCACACACCCCCCGGCCCGTCTGCTCCCATCACAGCCCTGCTGTCGGTGCCGATGCTCCCCGCTCACCCTGGAGTCGGGGATCCCCCGACAGTGGGAAGTGGGTCCGCGTCCCCCACTATGGCATTTCCAGCACCAATAAATACTTAATGAATTGAAGGTGCTATTTACAAATATTCTCCAAACCGTATTTTATTAGACCAGAAATAAGATGTTAAGTCTTCCTGGCATGTTAATTTTAACTGCAAGTTTGGAAAAGGACATTGTTTAGATTAGAAGCCCTCATTAGAATAGACAGTAAAATGTGCATGAATTTTCACAATAAATCCAGATATTCCTCCAGATTCCTCTGGTGCCACCAGAGAAAGGTCTTTAAAAAGCAATGTTTGTACAGGAAGCACCGTGAAGGTACAAAACGTATTTGCCCACAACTAAACTGTTTAATAAAATCTATGCCTGGCTTTCTCAACCTACTAAGACAACAACCAAAGTTGATACAAAACCCTGCATTGCCAAATGAACACTACTTTGAGTCTGAACTAAGGACAATTTTAAGACAATAATCTCTAAGAGATACAAGCAGGACTGACTTTGAGGAGCTATGGTTTCATTGTTGAATCCACTATCAGGAGTGTGGGTCCTAAGTGCCTTTAAAGAAAAGCAAGACACCATGTGTCAAAGATAACTTTTTCTTAACTGATGATATTTTCCAATCGTTTACTATATGTATGTATGTACATATGCATTTATCTGTTGAATCATTAGAAAGTAGTTTGCAAACCTAGTATACTTCACCGAAACCCTTTAGTAGGCATCTCCTAAGAATAAGTATATTCTGGGCCAGGTGCAGTAACTCACACCTGTAATCCTACCACTTTGGAAGGCAGGAGGATCATTGGAGGCCAAAAGTTCAAGTTCAAGACCAGCCTAAGCAAGAGTTAGACCCTGTCTCTAACAAAAAAGAAAAAAATTAGCCAGGCGTGGTAGTACACACCTATAATGCCAGCTACTGAAGAGGCTGAGGCAGGAGGATCATTGAGTCCAGAAGTTTGAGGATGCAGTAAACTAGGATTATGCCACTGCACTCAAAAAAGGCATATTTTCCCATATCACCACCTTCCCCTTATTACACCCTCAAAAAAGTAACATTTTATAATGTGACCTAATATTCAGGCCATATTTAAATTTATCTCATTTTAGAAAGTACCTATAGCTATTCCCCCCAACCATCCAACACGAGTTTCTATATTATATTCGATTATCTCATGTCACGATTAGGATGAGGCTAGCATT